GACTTCGTTTCTGTACCTGCCACAAGGCATTTGTATATTTGTGAATGGGATACTTATCCCAGCTTCCTATCTTTTAATGTCCCCTCTCCTCCAGTGCATGGCCATTAAATGACTAATTGAAGAATTTGCTTAGAGAACCTAGAGAGCACAAATGCACTTTGAAATGTTCCCAACGTGGACGTGGGAGAGGCCTGCTAGCACTGCCATTGATGGGAGTTAAATTGGAGTGTTTCATTAATTAGCACTGAATTGCTAACCTGGCAAGAATCCTAATTAGTTTTTGCCACAAAGCAGCCATATTCAGTAGGCCTACCCCTCAGCCAGCTGCTTTTAAGGCTTTTTTTCCTTGAGACCCACAGTGAATGTGGAATGCCACATCAATCCAGTATCTACACACATGTGTCTGTGCAGATACATACATACATACACATACAGTATATATATGTTGTATATATACACACATACATACACACACAATACACACACACACACACACACACACACACACATACTTTGAACTGCCTATGATCTTACTGACCCTTACTGAGTGAGATCCACATATTCCATTCTGTAACCCGCAAGAGGACCACAGCATAAGGTTTGGGAAGTGCTGGTTTGGTGGCACTCTTACCACCAGGGAGTCTCTTCCTACTCCCTCACACACACACAGCTTTAAAAAAAGATTATAATATAATTACATTTCCCCCTTACTCCCTCCATAACTCCCCTATAGTTTCCCCTGATCTTCCCCTGATGGCTTCTGTTTCCACTAATCATTATTGCATGCATATATGTATTTGTGTGTGTATATATATATATATATATATATATATATATATATATATATTCCTAAATATAACCTGTTGAGTTCATATAATGTTACTTGTATTGGTGTTTTCAGGGCTGTCCATTTGGCACTGGATAACCAATTGGAGTGCTCCTCCCGGGAGGACCACCTCTCCTGTTCCTGGCTTTGCTCAGTTGCTGTAGTTCTTTGTGTAATGTGGAGACCTCAGAGACTTTTTCCTGCACACTTAGCACTCTTTTGTGGGCTAGGAGGCCATGTCTGCTTAAGGGAAATGGGTGGAAGTTTGAAGGAAAGAAATGAAGGCATCAGAAATCACTTATAAACCAAAGAGAGGAAGTAAACAAAGTATTGCAATTTAAATGGGGTCGTCTTCCTGGTGGATTCTGCCTTAGCACCATGAAATGCACATCTAGATAAAGAGACTCTCCGCTCAGATGGTCAGCCTTCTCCAGAGCCGCTGTAACCAGGTCAGTGGCTGCTTCCTGATGTTTCCTCCAGTCCCCAGAGGCACCCCATTCTTCTTTGCTAAGTTTAAGGGGTTTCTGTCATTGTTGCTGTTCGTTCTGTAGTCCGGGCTGGCCTGGAATTGTTAAGTAGACCACGCTGGTCTTCCCAGAGTTCCTCTTTCCTTCGGAATGCCAGGATTAAAGGGGTCAGCTTGCTACCGTGCTCTACAACGGTGGTAATTCGGGTTTGGTGGCTGATTGCATACTTAGTCCCTGGGCTAAATGGGAGTATCTCTGTAGTACTTAGGGATTACCAGAAATCTTGAGGTGGAAATCATCATTTCTGGGTTTCTTTTGGAAATAGCATGGCCAATCCACCTAGCAGAGTTCTTAGATGTCACATATGGCAGCTGAAATGTAAATTGTTATGCATTTTTTATAAAGCTGACTGTTCAGTTCTGTAGCCAAACTGAATGAACTCCAGCAGCTGCAGAAAGCTAGCGGTCCCCATGCTGCAGTGAGGAGACATGACATTTCCGTCAGCAGCTGGTCCAGGAGGCCTGCCGAGTCATCTCTGAGGCTAGTCGATGGGACTCAGGCAAATTAAGTTGACAGGCAGCTCAGCTGATGGTTGTGAGGTAGTTTTGTTTCTTTTAGCTATAAACATACACACACACACACACACACACACACACACACCATACACGAAGAGGGGTTGGAGAGAGATTGGTTGATTGATTCCACTACCTTATAGAACTCCTGGTTGTCCACAAAACCTAATGAAAAAACCAGCCTCCCTGATCCCTGCCTTCCTCAGCCTCTGTTGTCTGTGTCCTCTTCACAGTCGCTTGTCCCAGTGACCCAGCTGATTTGCTGAGCAAGCAGGAAGCTAGGTGTTGGATAAAAACCAGTTGGGTTTTGTGTATTCTGCAAGTACCTCTTATAACTGAAAGACCTGTGCTTGGTCTAGCCTGGGCTTAGACCTAGTAGTTTCTATACATGTCTGACTCTGAGCCTTGATAGCTGCTGTAGGTGTGAATGAATCTAGCTGGTTTTGACTGGCTTGCTCCGGGGGAGTTTGGAGTGAAAAGTCACCTCCCATGGTATCTTCTGTGTACACAGCCTTTAACATTTACAGATGTGTCTTCTGGGTCATGTAATTTGACATTCATAGGAAGAAGCATGTGAGGAGAGACAAAACATTTGCAGAGAAGGAGCCAAGGCTCAGAGAGGTAGAGCGGTCTGCCCATGGTCACACAGCTGGCAGCTTGCAGAGCTGAGCTTTGAGTCTCAGTCGTGAGCAATACTTCTCAACCGTCCTAATGGTGTGACCCTTTAGTACACTTTGCCACGTGATGCCCACAACCACAAAATTATTTTTGCTGCTACATCATAACTGTAATTCTGATACTATTATGGGGACAGTAATGTAAATATCTGTGGTTTTCAATGCTCATGAGTGATCCCTGCGAAAGAGCCATTTGGCCTCAGAAGGTCACGACTCACAGTTTGAGAACTGCTCTCTAGAGCTTTTGAGAGGCTGCGGCTTACTTCTGTTGGAATCTGGACTCATAAAATAAGATGTATTTAGCTGGGCAACTGATGGTGCAGGCAGAAAGTAGACTCCGTGAACGTTTTTAATGCTGGACTTGGAGAAGGGCCCTGTAATCGGGTGGCTCGGGTCCTCCCTGCCCTCAGGGGCTTTTTTTTTTTTTTGAAGCAGATGAATAAATATATTACAATCAGCAAATGTGTGTTATTCTAGAAAAAACTGAAAGTATTAGTGCTCATGGATGCCTAGTCCTTTCTAGAACTCTCCTGAAAAGAGAACAGCTTTGAGTCAGATCCTGATATGGGAAAAGACCAAGGGGAAGGACTCATCAGGCGCTAAGGTTTGATGGCAAAGCAGACACTTGTAGACAGAAACTCCAGTTTGCAGAATGCTAGAAAACTAGAAAAGGAACACTTGATTGTTGAAAACCTACTCCTCACAAGACATTGTGTGGACCTGGGTTTGTAGCGGGGTGTTAAGAGACTTAAGCCTCACTTTCATTGTGTGTGGTCTTTGGAGGGAGAGACTATCCATTGTTGATAATGAGATGGTTAAGGCGGTATTTCAGATTGTGGTCGTTACTTCAAAAGTAAGCAAAGGGCTTTCATGAGATATGTAACGTGATCACGTGAGTTAGAGTGGTGTCTAACCTTGGATGGAAGCTGTGAGAATTATCCAGCTACACGGGGAGCATGGAATAAACACGGGTGGAGGTGGGAGCAGAGCAAAGGCCCCGGGATGTGGGAGACCTGGAAAGAGGCCTGTGTGCCGCTGAAGGTGGAGAGGTGAGTGGTAGGAGGTGAAACGGAGGTGGGGGGACGCAGGCTGATCAGAGCTTCTTCACCAGGTCTTTAAGAGTATTTAAAGTATTTAAAGCAGAGATCATGATTGAAGGCATTCTTCTTTTCAAAGCTGCTTTGGCAGCAGTGTGGAGAATGTTTCCAAGTGGGAAACAGGTTTTCCAAAAATTCCCGAGGGCTCCCATGTGATCCTGGTTAGAGATGCTGGTACCGGGCGGTGGCTGCTCTGGGAAAAGGAATAGCTAATTCCCAGAGGGCTGTGGGAGATGTTGAAGCAGATGGTAAGGATGGCTTCTGATGGTACCCCTGATGGGATGGATGTGGAGCTGGCCCTGAGATCTGGGGCAAGGGACCCAGTTTGAGAAAGATCAGCCTTGGACATCAGAGAGGAGCTGGGTAGAGAGGGGTTGGAAACTCGAGTTGAGAACTGAGCTGGACTTAGCTGGCCAAGTTATTGGTGCAAGGAGTCTCTGGACATGTGTGCATCCCACCCCTGCCTGGAGGAAAAAAGCACGCTAACCCAGGAGCGAATAGAGGGTGAAGGAAAACCCTAAGTACTTGTATATTATACCATTGAGGCAGAGTAAAAATTATTTCAAAAGAATGGTCCTACCTTTCCTATCTCCAAATCATTTTCCTCATAATGCCCAAATCTGTCAAGGGATGGCCACCATGCATCTCTGGTCTAAGGCACTTCTCCAAGGGAGAACTGGCTCAATGCGACATTACCAGCTCTATATGTGTGGGTTCAGACAACTGCGGGTCAGAAATACAGCATGGGGGAATTGCTTTGAACTAAACATGCACAGGCTATTTCATCTTATTATTCCCCCAAACAATATAGTATATGAATTATTTATGTAGCATTTACATTGTTAGGTATTCTAAACAATCTAGAGATGAGTTAAGTCTGCAGGAAATATGTATAGGTTATAAGCAAGTACTGCACCCTTTTAAGTGAGGGACCTGGGTATCTCTGCAGGGTCCTGGCATCATCCTCCTGTGAATACCAAAAGACAACTGCCTATCATTTATTCATATGACAGATTGCTGTGTGTGTGCACGTGCGCGTGTGCGTGCATGTATGATGCTGGGAACAATAACCTCATTTCCTTTCTCCTGCATGACTGCTCTTTTTTTGGCTGCCACTATGGCCCGTTGCCAACTCGAGTTTACTTAGCCCCATGAAGGACTAAGCATGTGTGGTCTCTGCGGCTGTGCAGTTCTCCTTCAGAGTCCCCAGAATAACGCCAGCCAGGATGCTGGTCTGAGTTAGCTGCAAGCAGATCATTGGTTAGCCTGCAGTAGCTACCGATGTGCGACCCAAGTGCAGGCAGTTGGAGTGTCTCTTGTCCAGCCTGCTGCCAAAGTCCTCCTTGCTCTTCTCGTTGCAGGATGTCTGGCGCTCCTCCAAGTTACTGTTTTGTGGCGCTGCCACCTCGAGCCAAGGATGGTTTGGTGGTGTTTGGGAAAAATTCAGCCCGGCCTAGAGATGAAGTGCAGGAGGTTGTGTATTTCCCGGCTGTTGATCATGAAGCGGAGAGCAAAGTTGAGGTAAGTGGTAAGGTGCGGCCCCTCTGCTCCTCCGGACGTCGTCTTCTTAGGGCTTTACCTCTAACCGCCTAGTTTCTTCCCTGGAAGCCTGCTAGCCTTCCAGATGGACATGTTGTTTTTACTAATTCCGTTTTTCATGCCGATAGGCTTGTAGCCTAAGCAACAAGGGCACAATGGAGAATTCTGTATCCACTCTGGTCCTTGATTTATGGTTAAGGAAAATATATAATTCCAAAGACAAATCTGTGAAATTAAAAATGGATCCATTGACGTCTAGCTTGCCTTCTTACTTTGTTTCCTTTTTCTTTATAGAAACACCTCATTTTGGAAGAGTTTTTGTTCCTTTGATTTGTTTAGCCTTCTGCAGTGGTTTAAGGAGAAATGTCCCCCATCCATTCATTTATCACCAGTTGGCGATACTGTTTTGGCAGGTTATGGAACCTTTACAAGGAGCAGCCTTGCTGAAGGACGTCTGTCACTGTGGGTGGGCTTTTAGTGTTTCTAGTCTCACCTTGCTTCTAGCTCACTCATCTTGCTTCCTGTGTGAGACCGAGGTGTGGTCTCTGAGCTTCCTGCTCTAGCCATCCGCTGCCCTACGTCTCCTACCATTATGGACATATATTCCTTGGGATCTGTTAGTCAAGATGAACTCTTTAAGTTGTCATCATGTGTGTAATAAATCACACACAAGGAATATGCATCCCCATTTCTTTCTGAGCATAGCCCCCCACTTCCTTTTCTTTACTTTCCCTTTTCTAAGGCAGAGCCTTGCTGCACAGCTACACTGGCCTTGAACTCACAGCTGCCTCGTCTCGACCTCTGAGTACTAGGGTTACATGTGAACACCAATACAGCAGCTCTGCTTTTCTCTACTTTGCTTTTCTTCCCCGCAACAAAATTTGTATCATGGTGTATTTGTTATTTCTCTGTTGCTGTAGTAAAACACCACTATCAGGTAGGGTTTATGATTCCAAAGGGGTAAGAGTGCATCACCCTTACTGTGGGAAAGCCTGCAGCAGGCAGCATGGCAGCTGGTGCAGCAAGCTGAGCGTTCCCATCTTGAACTGAACCCAGGAAGTACTCTTTGCACATGGTTTTTAAAATTCCAAAATAGCAAACCCTCCCTCAGTAACATATTTCCTCTAGTAAGTCCATACCTTCTAAACCTACCCAAACTGTGCCACCAGCTTGGGACCTAGTATTCAACCATCTGAGCCTATGGAGACATTCTCATTGAAACCACCACACTTGGAGATCAGAAAATACAGTATACATGACATATACTTACTTCTGTGTTCTTTATTGGGCAGTGTTACAGTCAGTGGCTATGCCAGTTGACCAGTTTAATCAGATCCACATTGCTGCTAGATACTGGGGTTGTTTTCTAGTGCTTGGCTGCTCCCAGAAGTGCCGGATGAATAGTTATCTTTTATCTATGTCTTGTCTTTTGTATTTTTATTGTGCTAAAAATTGTTCATCACTTCCTGTTTCGAATGCTTTAAGATTTTATTTTTATTAATATTTATTTGGGATACTTGACTAGGAATGAGATCTGGGCCACGAGCTAAGTACACATGTAATGCTGGCAAATGTAATCGTACTTCTTCCTATAGGTGGTTTACTATTTTGTATGCCCACCAACAATGCATGGCAACATATGTCTCTCTGTGTTCCTAGAGTGTTGTTATTGGACTTCATGATGGCTATCTTATGCTAATTTTAAATTCTGCTATTTTGCCAAATTCCTTTTTCAGTTGTATCAGCTTTTGCTACCAATTCTTTTGGCGTCTCCAGGCGTCCTGTTATGGCCTCCACGTTGCGATACTTTGATTCTTCTTCTATTTCTGATTATTTTCTTGTCTGATTGTGTTGGCTTCTATCTTGAATGCAATGGAGATAGTGGTGTCCTTGCAACTGACCCTGATGAAGTGGGGATGCCTGTAGACATTCACATCGGGATGCCGGTGTAGGGACTGAGGCTTGATTAATTTTGTTATAGTAAAATCTCTGTGTAAGTTCCTATTTAAAATTTAAAAAAAAAACAGCTCAGAGGCTTTGCTAAATTCTTTTGAAGATTTGAAGATCCTTTAAAAAAAAAAAAGAAAAAAAGAAACAGTTATGGGGAGATTGCCTAATGCCTTCCTTTCTATTTCTTTGACAAACTGAGCCATGTTTGCATTCATGGGTTATGCTTCTTAGTTATGGTGTTTTTTGTTTGTTTAAATGGTAGTTGTTAAACGATTAAGAATTTATAGAAAAAAAGGAGGCTAATCAAGAACAAGCTTTATCTACATCTATACTCTTCAGTGTTTTATGGTGAAGACAACAAAAGACTTTTCTCATGCCCTACCTGGTTTAAAGGCACAGTTACCAATGTGTCTAGTGTTTCCTGGACACTGTTTCTGCTTCTCTCTGTTCATGTGTACATTAGCACCAAAAGGCAGCAGACCACGATGAGGAGTTGCCTATTCTGAGGAAGGCGGAGTTGGGAGACTGTATCCCATGGGGCTTTCGACAGGACCGCTTGCTTCTTGAGTTGAGCCACTACCTAATCCCTGTCTCCTATCTTCAGTGGGACACTTATGTAGGTGAAGAGAAAGTGTGAGTCTCTCTGGTGAGCGCCTCAGAGTCCAGAGTCTATTCCTCAGTGAGTGAATAGCTGTGTCATTTGAGTGTGGATGTCTTTTCCAGGAACAGGGAAAACTGCCCGAATGACGTTTCCTGGCTCGAGTTATTGTTGCCTTCTCCTGCCTGCTTTCATGAATCTTTAACTCCCGACCTGACTGCAGAGACCTAGGAACTGAAGCCATTCCGTGGTTTCTTCAGGATGGAGTCAAACCCCAAAGGCAGCAGTTCTGGTTTCCATCCTCCATATCCTTATTCCTCCCCAACCGAGGGGTGCTTGGGAGTCTGCACCATTCACTCTGACGTGAACGAACCTTGTTGCAGGCTGGTGATTGCTCTGACCAGTGGCTCATGCAGCAGTGCTGCGGAATGTTTTCCAGGGCTTAATAATAAGATGTCGTTTTTCTCTGTCTCTCCTTGTCTTTGTGGACTATACCCTATGAACTCAGTCATCTGTCATGCTGGGAGGTATTAAAGTAGTCCATAAACACAGGGCAGGTCCCTCAGGGGTAAAACCTGAGGCCTGATAGTCAACTACCAGCATTAACTGCCAGTAAGTGGATGAAAGACGTTGGATCCAGCCCTAGACAGTGGGGTGGAGACACAATGTCTGGCTGCTTGCTATTCACATGCCTGATTCAATGAATCCATGAGCACAATAAACGGTTGTTAATACCATTTAGTTTAGGGGTAATTTGTTAAGTACCCATAGTAGCTATAATATTATACAAAAGCCTGGTATAATACTGAGATGGCTCAGTAGTTAAGAGGACTGGCTTCTCTTTCAGAAGACCTTGGTTCAAGTCCCAGCACACACATGCCAGCTTTCAACTCTCTGTGACTCCAATTCCAGGGACCCGGACGCCCCCTTCTTGCCTCTTCAGGCACCAGAGGAGCTTGTGGTGCACAGGCACAGGCAAAACATATATACAATTTAAAAAAAATAGCTATTAAAGAAAAGAACTTCAGGAAGTTTATTTTCTTTCTTGCTAGGCAAGTAGGTACTGGCACCCTACTCTCATATCAAGTACCCTGTCAGTTGGGCAGTGGTGGTGCACGCCTTTAATCCCAGCACTCGGGAGGCAGAGGCAGGCGGATCTCTGTGAGTTCAAGGCCAGCCTGGTCTACAAGAGTTAGTTCCAGGATGGCTAGGACTGTTACACAGAGAAACTCTGTCTTGAAAAAAAAGAATCTTGTCAGAAAGCAGACACGATTCTGCTCCCTGGCTCAACACACAATATGTTATTACTCAAATACGCCATAGGTTGAATCATGGCACAGATGGAGAGGTGGTTCATAATATCCAGCAGTCTCTGGGATGCCCCTGGCGTCTTCATGTTCCATACCTGTGACATGAGCTGCCTCTGTACACATGTATGTTTAGCAGGTAAAATAACACCGGAGGGAAAAACCACATTCACGATCTCCATTTTGTTGTCTCTGTTGTCTGTCCACACCACTGCATGCACACAGGTCATGCTGGAAGCCAGGGCAAAGGCTGAAGTTTACCTTGCACACCCCAGGATGCACAGGGACAGCTGTCTCTGCATCCTATTGTCCGGACACTGTCTGGTGTCCCCATCTCCTCCCCACCATTTCCGTCTCATTTCTGCTGACCTCGCTTTTCTTCTGTTATTTTCTTATTGGCACAGAGCTCTCTCTGTCTTGATTATTCTTCTTGAAGGATTACCAGGAGTTTTTTTTTTTTAAAAATATTTATTTATGATATATACAGTGTTCTGCCTGAATGTATACCTGCGTGTCATTCTGAGGGCACCAGATCTCATTGTAGGTGGTTGTGAGCCACCATGTGGGTGATGGGAATTGAATTTAGGGCCTCTGGAAAAGCAGCCGGTGCTCTTAACCTCTGAGCCATCTCTCCAGCCCCAGAAGTTTCTTTACAGAGCAAAGCTGTCCCTACCTTATTGAAGTGTTTGATTGGATGATAGGCAGGGCTGATATACATACTGTTTAGAACTCTTCTCAACTGGCACCCTGTCCACTTCTTTCCCTTTTAAACTATTAGAGTTTTACAAAGAGCAATGCTGTGTTTAGAGGAATGTGACCAGAAAGTGGAGTTCCCGTAGAGTCCTTGTTTGTGCCCTTACACTCCCCATTTCCAGCCTCTGGTAGATGGATGCTGCCATGGGCTCTCTCGCCTCGTCTGTGCTTCCTGTCTTCATCCTTAGTTACCCATTCAGCTTGTACCCTAGGCCTCAGCTACACTGAGATCTTGCCATTTTTTAGACAAAAAAAAAATCTGTATTTCTCTATTTTTTTTTTATATTCTCCTATCATTGCTGGAATTGTCCTTCCTCTCTCGTAGACTCCTAGGCTTCCTTCAAGGTCCTAGTCCCATTATGTCCTCTTCCTTC